GCCACACACATACTCTCACACACGCAAACACACATCAAATCACATTACTCTAACCTTATTAGTTAGTTTTAGTAAGAGTTTCACGGCACTTGCAACACAACTAGGTCATATAGATCTAAATGCCGAAGATTAGGAGTGTTACAAGAGAGTAGACTAACAAACACAAAAAAATGAAGGAGGAGAGATAAGGACGACAGATGTTTGATAGGAAAGAAGGAGCAAACCACACCAAAGCACCCGCCACCCACCCATATTATTATTAATTATCTACCTACCGTTTATGAATATGGCCTTAGCGTCAGGCCCTATGTCCTTCAAGACTCCCAGGGCGTGCCATGGGTCTATGGAGCCGTTGGGGAACACGACACGAGACATTTTGGGGCCCAGACCGGCATAGTCTTCGTTGCTCCTCACGATATCACGACTCACGAGTGTCTTGATGAACTGACTACCGTAAATGTCTGTGCACTGCTGGATGAAGTATCTGAAAACAACAACAACCACACGATGTTTTTTGGGTTTTTTTTTTTTTTTTTGGTGTGTAAGTGTTCTACGGCTCTCACAACTGCATAAGGTCATATGAACGCGCGGGACACAGTTGGTAGGAATTTTGTCCGGATGGCAGCCGAAGTCTACTTTTATCGATTTTGGACCTCCAAGGGATCTTTAACGTGTGCAACTTGCACACGAGATCTCCGAGATTTTTCGCTCTTGTTCGAGAAGGCGAGGTGTAGATCTTACATTAAAAAAGATCAGGGGTGTGTGGCTGAAAGACAACAGTAGGAAGGAGCCAGGGAGTAGCAATAGAAAGGCTGCAGAAAGAGTCAGGAGCCCAGAGGAGGGGGCAAAGGAGGTGAGGAGGTGAGGGCAAAAAGTGGAGGCGAAAGCAGACGACAGAACATTGTTAGAGAGCAGGAATGGAGGTGGCAGTATTTCAGTCAGTGTGCACTCACGGCAAGTATTTCCGTCAGTGTGTTTTTTAGTTTTAATAGGGGTTTTACAGCGCTCGCAGCTGCATTAGGTCATATGAGCGCCAAGGGGTGGATGTCAACAGAGAAGTCCTTACAGAGAATCAGGCTTACTCTGCTCACCTCTCTAGCTTCAACAGAGCAAAGTCTTCTTCGACTATCAAGGCACCCCGGAAATACAGGTCACAAGAGTGTGACAAACATACAAAAGAAGTAGAGGAAAATGACGATAGCAAGGATTAGGAAAGAAAAAGCAACAGTTCCTTGTTGAAGTTCAGGCACAGTTATGAGCGTGACATTGATGAATCAGCCCATTTACAATTACAATTCTACTGTGCATAAGAACTCGAGATGTTAATGTTCCCCC